CATGTTGAATCCTTCGGAAATTCTCATATAAATATCATTTTCAAGATTCCCATATAAATATGCAGTAACGACGTCCATTAGACGCATATCTAATTTTTCATGTACTGCAAAACTCACAAGATATCTAAATGTGATAGCATCCACTACAGGTGAATACGTTTCATCATAATCAAATCCAGGCCTTTGTGAAAATCCTTGGGCTACAAGTCTTGCTTTATATCTCACAATTTCATTTTTCTCATTTCTTTTTCTCACAAATACCCATTTATATCCTACTGGCTTTACACCTTCAGGTGTTTGGACTACAGGTCCAAAAACTTTTCTTTTAGCCAGTGAGTTCAATTCAGATTGGATCGCATCTTTCCATTTTGGCCAATCATTTCTACCTCGACATTCATCAACCGATCTAGGCTCATGATCCTCGTCCTCTGCCATAATATCAAGTGCTATATTATATGCGAAAATATTATCAATAATTATTTCTTTTCGGTTCCAACTTTTTCTTGAAGTGACAAAATTTATTGAATTTTCTATAGTTTCATTCTCTTTAAGAATTGGCTCTTTAGGAGCGACCTCTTCAGGAGGTTGAATTTTGTCACTAATTGTTGATTCATTTATTCCTCTTTTCTTTCGAGGATTTTTATCTTTGGAACCAAGAGGTCTCCCACGCTTCAGGCGTGCTTTAGACTCATTAGCACTTGTGATTTGTTCTTCAGGGACATCAATTTTAATCGGAGCATTTTCAGCAGGAATATGTGATTTAGTAACTCTTTTGGAGTCATTAAATGCATCCGGTAATTGATTTGCAATTTTTTGCAAATGTATAATCCTTTGAGCTTCTAATTCACATTCTTTAGTACGAGAATCAAGGAAATTCAATGATATTTTCCAAGTGATTTCCTTTTTCGGTTGATTTTTATCTCCCCCTAATGTCGGAAAATGTGACTCGTCAAAATGACAATCTGCAAATCTCGCAGTAAATAAATCACCTGTTAATGGTTCCATATACTTAATGATTGAAGGTGATTCATATCCGACATATATCCCCAATCTTCTTTGTAGGCCCAATTTACGACGTTGGGGCGGTGCAATTGGAACATACACCGCACAACCAAATATTCGTAAATGAGAAATATTTGGCTCATAACCAAAAGTTAATTGTAGGGGAGAATAAGTGTGATAACTTGTCGGCCTAATTCTTACAAGTGTTGCTGCATGTAAAATAGCATGTCCCCAAGCAGATGAAGGAAGTTTAGACCTCATCAACAATGGTCTAGCAATTAATTGTAGCCGTTTAATAAGTGATTCGGCTAGACCATTTTGTGTGTGAACATAGGCTACAGGATGTTCAACAGTTATTCCAATGGACATACAATAATCGTCAAAAGCATGTGACGAATATTCACCAGCATTATCTAGACGAATTTTCTTTATTGAAAAATCTGGAAATTGTGCTCGCAATTTAATTATTTGAGCAAGCAATCTCGTAAATGCCAAGTTGCGAGTAGATAATAAACATACATGTGACCATCTAGTTGATGCATCAATTAGCACCATAAAATATCGAAATGGTCCACATGGTGGATCTACAGGCCCACATATATCACCATGAATTCGTTCTAGAAATGCAGGGGATTCAGTCCCAACTTTAACTTGTGATGGTCTAATAATTAATTTCCCTTGAGAACAAGCAACACAAGAGAATTCATTGGCTTTTAATACTTTTTTATTTTTCAATGAGTGGCCATGTGAATTCTCAATTATTCGTCTCATCATTATAGATCCAGGATGTCCGAGACGATCATGCCAAATTATAAAATCATCGGGATGAGTAGACTTCTGGTCTACTAGGTGATGAATTTCAATTGCACTAATTTGTGCATAATATAACCCAGAAGAAAAAGAAGGTAATTTTTCTACTTCGTATTTTTTCCCATAAATGATACTTGTGATTAATAAAAATTCACCATTTGTCTCAGTTATTGTCTCGATATGATATCCATTTTCGCGGATATCTTTAAAACTCAATAAGTTTCTTCGAGACTTGGGAGAGAATAGTGCATTATTTACAATAATTTTAGTCCCTTCGGGGAGAAATATAGTGGCTCTTCCGGAGCCTTCAATCAATTTTGCACTACCACTAATGGTATTAACATTTGTCTCTCCCATTTTCAAACAAGAAAAATATTTTTTATTTTTCAATATGGTGTGCGTAGTAGCACTATCAATGAGACAAATATCATCATCACCATTATTTAATCCCAAATATTTGACATCCATTTCTTCTTCAGGAAGAAAATTTCAAACAAAAATAAATATTAATAAAGATGCGAAAATAAATATTCAATGGAAAGAAAATTACATGAAAGATATAAAGCATCATAAAAATATCTAAATAATCATGGGATATTTGTTGACATCTTCAGGATGTTCAAAAAAATCAGCAACATCGAGGTGTGTCATGTCAGCATCATCACCATCATCATAGTCATTCTTTTGATCAATGAAATTTGTCTCAACACCTTTGTCTTTCTTTTTCAATGATGCTTGATAGAGGTCAACAAGATGTTCGGCCGTACGACAGGTACGAGACCAATGACCTTCCATACCACACCGGTAGCATTTTTCTTCATAAACTTTCTTTTCTCCATTTTTCTGATCGTAGTTATTTTCCCTCTTTTGGGAAACATTTTGTTGCTTGCCCCGGTTAAAATTTTCACGGGGCACACATTTACTACGATCACGTCCACGGCCACGGCCACGTCCGCGGCCTCCTCCACGGCCACCTCTACGGCCACGTCCACGACCTCGACCAGAATTTTGAAATTGGGTCGCATTCGCTTCAGGGAATGGACTTGCACCAGTTGGTCGGGACTCATGATTTTTCAGCAACAATTCATTGTTTTGTTCAGCCAAGAGAAGACATGCAATAAGTTCAGAATATTTTTTAAACCCCTTCTCTCGATATTGCTGCTGCAGGAGCATGTTAGAGACATGAAAAGTAGAAAATGTTTTTTCTAACATATCTTCATCAGTAACTTTTTCGCCACATAATGATAATTGAGAAGTGATTCTGAACATGGTTGAATTATATTCGTCGACAGATTTAAAATCTTGCAGCCGTAAGTGAAGCCAATCATATCGAGCTTTTGGAAGAACGACCAACTTCAGGTGGTCGAATCTTTCTTTCAAATCTCGCCAAAGGACAAGAGGATCTTTAACAGTAAGATATTCTGATTTTAATCCTTCATCTAAATGATGACGAAGAAAAATCATAGCTTTGGCACGGTCTTGGTTTGAGGATTCATTTTTTTCCACAATTACCAAGACCCATTGCCTCAAGATGGATTTCAACATCCAATACCCATGATAAATAATTTTTTCCAGAAATATCAAGAGGTACAAACTCTTGTTTTGTAAGATTAGCCATAAGAAATTGAAATAAGATTTTGACTTAGAAATTTACCTCAAAAGTCACTTGAAGAAATACGGGCTGAATTTCGGCAAAATCTTGTACTTCACTTTTGCTCAAAGTAGCGCCTTCGTTTCGCCTTTGCTCAAAAGAAGAGCTTTCGTGCTGATAACGTGTTATAAAACTAATCAAATAAACTACTATAATATCAAGTGAAATATTGGAGAAAGAAGTAAAGAAAGAAGTAGAGAAATGGAGAGTAATATTCTTATATTCCAATAAGATACAAAAGTCATCACAAAGGGTTTCAATGTACCTCTATATATAGGCACTACAAGATTAAAGGTACATAAATCCTATTAAACATCCACTATTACAATAATATGAAGAAACCTATGAAACGGTTTCTCCACTACATGAATGGATTTATGAATTGTAACTTCTATACATAAGTAGCCATAAAATCATGAATTAATCCCCTTGAGAATACAAAGGGACATCCACATTTTTGTTATTTCATAACAGTAATGTATTTTAGTCCCAAATATTTTGACAACAATAATTTTTGGTCCAATAATTCATTATCAGTTATTCTATGACCTAAAAGGTGTCAATTACTGACTTTGTGCTAATAAAGTGAGGTATAAAAATAGAAAAAAAAAAAAAACCTATTCCATGGAAAAAGGCATGTGTTGAAAAGTTGATGAATTGAGGTTACAAGAATATGGAACCTACTACAAAACTATTATGCAAGTAGTTTTAAGAACTTGGTTGAACCAACAATGAGGGATTCAAAAGAGTTTTTAAGGCATGTGTGATCACTCTCCTTAAGGTGTTGTTTGCCCACTAACTTGCTAATCGGATTGAAGTAGCAAATTATCCTCTAGGTTATAATGGAAAACAAGAAACTAGCCTATAGCAATTTAAGCTTATTTTCCACAAAAAAGAGAAGATTTTTTTTTGGCAAACACTTTTGCGATAAAAGTCTTGAGGATCTCCAAGTATTTTTGCAAGTTTGTAACTAGTTTTGTATGATTCACACTTAAACATTTGAGAGTTTTGCGAGTTATACAATTGAAGAGTCATGACACAAATCATAAGTTATGGAATTGAAGATTCAGGTTACAAATCCTGATATCTTAACTTATTACTGAACACTTTTCACATTATAAACTCAATTTGGCAAAGAGTTCTTTCGAGTATAGTTTGCCAACTAATCAAACTAAACTTAAATAACATTTCATATTTATCAAAAATTTAAATTCGGCTCAAACTTAGCCCAATTAGCATAAAATGAAATTTATAATTATAAAATTCTAACTACTTGAGTGTTCAACTCAAGTTTGATTCGATAAGAGTTCGTTTGAATTCAACTAAATAGATTAACAAATCAAGTTTGTACACAATTTTAAACTTGATCGAATAATTAATGAGCTTGAAAACTAAGATATTCAATTTGATTAGACTTGCTTAAACAGCCAATCATGAGTGGGTTTGTGACTTCAAAGTGGGAATAATTTGCTATATTTTGAATTTATTGGGGTTCAAAATAGAAATGTATCAGTTTATATATATTGAGTACCAAAAAGTAGAAACAGATGATTCTCAAATGTAAGGGCTTCTTGTACAATTTAAACTTTTAAGCTGAAATAAGGATAATTGGAGTTAAACCATTTAACGTCACATTTTCTGGTTCCCCAAACCCCCAAAACCCTGACCGGCAAAGTAAGCAAGCTCGCTACTATCGCCGGTCAGAAATTCACCGGCGGCCGTCTGCCTATCCAGGTAACTTTGATTCTTTAATCTCCATTGGTTATTATTCTATGAACTAAACAAACTGCATTAGTTTTAGCTGGTTTTAGCTCTTGATCGGTTTCTTCCAGCTCATTTACTTTTGCATGAATATCTTGCCTTTTTTTATTATTAAATTTTTATAATTATCGAACTGTATAAGTAAATAGTTCTAATTTTTTTCACAGAAATTGGAAAAAGGAAAAGAAAAGGCCTTTATTTTTTTTGAATGAATTAAGGAGAAGAGAGAGAAAATGCCTAATCGAACTCGGCCGATGGCAGCATTATTGGTGTTTACCGGACTCAATGCCATTTTGGTCTCAACAATTGAACCAGTCTACGATTTCGTCTGCTTCCATCCCTACTGGGAACGCAGGGTAATTTTGTTCTTTTTTATTTTATAGAAACAATGGATTTTTTTGCTGCTTCTGTTTTGTTTTTTAATTGGGAAATTATCAAATGATTAGAGTAATTATAAGACTTGTGTGTTGATGCTTTAATGTGGTTTGGAGTGGTGCATTTTCCTTTTTTTCTGGTTAAGTTATTATCAAAGACTTTTGTTGGCACTTGAAAATGATGTAGGTTTGATCAATTTTTGAGGGAAAGAAATGAAATTTAAAATTTCCAAGTAGGACAAGGCTCTTGTGAGCTGAGCACAGTTTTGACTGAATTATTGGAACTCAATGGTGTAAAATGTGATTCAAGGTTAGATATGAGAAGGGAAGCGAAGTTGAGATAGTTGCATAGGGAACAGATGTCCAGTTTGTATTGAAAAAGAGCAAAAAAAAAAAAAAAGGATAAAGAGAAGCAAGGATGAGTGGTATTAGTGAAGGAGAAGAATTATAGGTACCTGCTTGACATAATCTGAAGAGCTTTGCAGTAATTCTAGATTTTTATACCTCTTCTTGATGGCATCTGGATTTTATGGTGTGAATTGTCTGCTCATATTGTTTATCTTTACTGTGATATACCGTGATAGTTACTGCTGTATCCTCTTCAAGGTTACAGTCACCATCTTCTTCAAATATTTTACAGCTTTTCAAGAAAGGAATAAGGAATAAATTGTAAAATTGTCAGACTTGAGAGATTTCAAGTGCAACAGAGTTTTAGACAAGCATTTCATCTTGTGTTTGCCTTTGCAGAACCTTCTGTTTAAGCACTGAGTTTTATGGTCAGATATCTTTATATGATTCTCCTCCCTGATGCATGTAAAGTACTCTTACAAGAAACAATATGTTAAAACCTTTCTATTTTGATTGCTGAGACTGAATTTTTATCAGAGAGAACGCCGGCGTCGGGAACGTGAGGCTGCACTGGCGAAGAGTCCGGTATCGCATTGAAAATTATAGCAATGGCAAGTGTCCTGGATAAGTTTTCCATCCATCATCCTATAGTGTTTTGTGATTTGTATGGGAAGGAAAGACTTGGAACTAAAAATTCTACAAAAGAAACACTAAGAAACAGAAAAAGAAGGTAAAAAATACTTTCCTTCACTTGAACCTTTACCAATGATTTTGGGAGCTACCCTGAAGTACATCCTTTGGAGCACTTTTGGCAGAAAAAGTTTTGACTGAATTTTAATCTCATGCCGAGGGAAATAATTGTTGTAGCTTTGGGACTTCACTATGTAAAGTATGACTTGGAGGTTGGACATGTTACATGTAAAGGCTCCTTCGTAGGTTTATCCACCATATGTAAGTAAAACTAGGGGTGTTTCTTTTGAAATTTTGCTAGGGGTGTTTCTTTTGAAATTTTGGTAGTCAGTGCCTTCTTTCATTTTTCAGGAAAAATTGGTTGATGCAAACTATTCTGTTCATCCTGTGTTATTTATCCTCTTTGTTGGTTCCTTATGGTAGGAATGAACAGTTTTCTGTCCATCTTTTATCTGTAATCTGTCTCTGTGAAGTCACTCTCATGGACAAAACTGTGTCTGTCCGGGGCTGGGCTTTTGGAGAAAAGAATATGACATTCGCATATCACAGAAGCACCTCTCCTCTGCTAGTATGCAACACCATTTATATTGTTAATTGAAGATGGTACAATCTATGCTGTGATTACCCTATTGTATGTCATACTGCTCTTCTTCTAGTTTCCCTCTGATAGATAGAATAGCATCCCTTTATATGTGACTTCGTACTTCTGCATTAACATGATCTTTCTTTTGATGTCTACATTCTCTAGAAAATTATTGGGATGCTTCATATGAAGTTTGTCTTTAAGTTTCTGATTTGAGTCAGAGGTAGTAGTGTAAGAGTATCTCATCCCTGTACATAATTTTGTTTGGGATCAAAAATATGATTTTTGCACATGGGTCCTCTACCGTATCATCCATCCTTAATGATATTAATTCGTTGGGTTTAGAGGATGGAATTTGAGGTGGGGACAAGGGGTTCACGGATTTTTTAGATGTAATGGTTCAGGTGCAGTTTTCCCCTCTTTAGGAAGCAAATGAAGCTTTTTAGGTCTTTTTACCAAAGATTTTGTCCCACTTGCATAAAATTGGCACCCACCGAAGCTACAATGCTTTGTCAATAGAACTGCCTAGGATTGTCTTCAATGGTGAAACTTCAATTATTGATACATGTGAGTAGTAGAACAGTAGGACATCTCTGGGCTTTGACCCAGAAAAAAAAAGTATGACTGGCACCCCTAGACCTAAAGCATGCAATGATTTTGGTGCCTCAGTCTGGTTAGGACCTTGGTAAAAAAAAAGTCTGGTTAGGATTTGGTGAAACTGTTTAGGATTTGGTGCCTCAGTCTTCCATCCGTTCACATTTGCCATTGATGGTAGAAGAAAACATGCCATGATTTTTATCTGATATGAGTTACGTGTATGTGGGAGTATATGTTGTTCATAATTAAATTGAACTGTTCAAGAAATCTTCATAGCTAATTTTTTCAGGTCAAAGTTGAATGGCTATTTTCTACAATCAATTGTTTCTTTTGAAAATTAAAAGCAATCAAATGTTTTGAAAATATGAAGAAATGTGACAACTTATGTACCAAGGAGTAAGTGAACTCTGGCAATCTTTTGTAACTGGGTTTTTTTTTCTTTTTCTTTTTTTTTTGGTAAAAAAATGTCTACAACGAGAGTAGCCTTGCCCCATTTCAAGGTTCACGCATGGCTACAGCCACATTAGGCATCTTATAATAATTCTATCAATCGCCTGCCAATTGGTTCGCGGTGACGATTGAAACTGAGCTCACTCAAACTTTATTATACCCAAAAAAAAAAAAAAACCATCGCCTATCAATTGTGCTTTAATTATTGCAGGATTCAAAGTTGAATATTTCCAACGCAAGGGCTGAGCTTAAATCTTTACTTGTTTGGTCACAACACGTTGTCATTGTGTATATCTTGCGCCCGTGCGGTGGGGGGGGGGGGGTTAAAATGGATGAGAGCATAAATCAAAGGACCCCAGTGACCGGGCAAATTGGGGTTAGGTTCACGCTTTGTCTATCAAGGCATCGCATGTGCTCTCACACGCTTTCTCCCATCCCCACTACCATGTGCTCTTGTCTTCTTCTTTGCTTTCTCTTTCCGCATACCCCCTTTCTCCTGCTCTTCAACTCTTCAGATCCTGTTTTTCCTTACGGTAGCTAATGAGCTATTTTCCAGCAAATAGTGTTTTTGCTTCATTTGCTGCATCTTATGCTTTTAGACAGCCACATTGCAATAATTCTTGGAAAAAGTAGTTTCACGAGGTGGGGACTATAAAAGGAAAAATTGGTTGTCCCCTCCCTACTCCTAGACTTTCTTTTTCACTTTTTGGTGGCAGTGGGTATTTTTCTGGTTCATGATACATATTTCTGGACAAAATCAAGGGTTATGGGGTTACTAATTAAGCTTCAAAACCAATTTATGTGCACTGGGGCCTGATTTTATCACTCAATTTCTCTTCTTAGTGCAAGCTAATTGTGATTAAGTTAGAAACTGTAGTAATCATAATATCTTTTTAGCCTAGTTACTGAAAATTGATTAAAATGCAAGAACACTGATTGCAATTCAAAAAAGGGTTGTCCATGATGGAAAAGAAAAAGGGTCTTGAGAACTTTGGGATTGTTTTGATCAGATATGCATACATCTCTAAAGGGCAGACAAATTCACTTTTGTGTTATTTTGCCTTTTAAATAGCCCTACAACTAGAAAGCGTGTTGATGTTTATGCGGTTTTGCAACGGTAAGTTGCACAGCCCTCTACGCTTTATGCATAAGGACCACATTAGTTGCTGAAATTGTGGCCGTTGGGATTGAGAGTAAAATGAATGTTGCCGTTGTACGGTATTTGGAAATTATTGGAGACAAAGAAAAGACTTCTAACTAATGTTTTTCTTTCTTAATATTTGGCAATAGATCAAGTTTCGTTATGCAAAAGATTTTTATATATCCAAGCATTTATGATCCAATCTTCTCCTCATCCAGCCCTGTCCCAAAAGAAAATGTAAAATAAACAGTATTAGATCCCCACAACTCCTTCTTAAGGGAAAAAAAAATGAAGAAGAAAGGGAATAGGCTCAATTTGAATTCAATTTCTGTTTTTGGTCTATTTGAAAAGTGAATTTCCAAGGGGTTATAAATTGGTTTACAAAACTGGTCTTGGTAGATAAATAATTCTTGATTGACTAGAAAGAATGTTATATTATGTATGTTCTTTTGTTGGGTTCCGGCATAGTGGATTAGTGGCCTTAAAAAAAAAAAATAGTAAGTAGTTGTCTTCTTTGTTTTGCAAATACTTCAAATGTGGATGTGATATCATTCTCAATTTTGTTTACAAGTTGAATTTAGTTACTAAAATGCAAAGATGGAGATCCTGTCCCAAACCATATGTATGAAAAATTTGCCGCTTAAATTGTCTTCTTAAGCTTCGACAGTTCGATGTATGTTGAATGAGACTAGGGTATGTGTACGGTTATCCAGTTATTATATATTTCTCATATAATCTTAAGTACATTTGTACAATATAATTATACGCGAAAGTTTTATTTGTATACATAAATTCAATTATAACAAATTCAATATATAAGTGCGTTCATACATATAAATATAAATGATGTTGGATTTGAATTTTATCCCACAAATCGTTTATTTGTTGGATCTGAGTTTTGTTCCGTCAACTTGTAAACCAAATCTTGAAAGTATGGGAATGACTGCTAATTGCACCAAATGGTTAACTGCATTTGCACCAATACACGTGTAATGTTTATATAACTATGAAAAGCAACTTAATGAATGCTTGGGGTACACATTTATCCTCCCCTTGGGCAGGCCATTTGCAACTCAGCAGCAGATGATACCTAATACACTCAACATCTAATGAATGTGCTGAGTTGTTAACAAGTTTATTAATTTTGGGATCATAATTTTCATGATTTTGTGTTCAACATCTAACGTCAAACTACAACGTATACATTGTCTGTAAAGTACGTTTTCTGCGATCAAAATTAAAATTTTTTGAATTTCGATCTTGTGATCAACATTAAAATTGTCTGATTTACAACTTTTCCCAAGCAGCATTAACCATCCAAAAATATAGTAACACAAAAAGATGAATAATGGTATCTTCTTTCCCTCCTCATGCCAAAAAATCTCCCAAAAATTTTCCAACATTTCTTCCCAAAAAGGAAAGGACGGAGAAAAAACGCAGACACACCGTATCACGTGCACCGTTGCACAGACAATAACAGCTCTACTAATTTAGACATTAAAATAAATTTAAACTTAATCCCCCGCCTAAGCCCCCTTTTTATCCGCTCACTATATAAACCAACCCCCTCATGCTGTCTCCCGTCACTTCTCAAAAATCTCTCCAGAAAACACACACCAGCACACCATCGAAAACACGCACAGATGAAAGAAAAATCTTAAAATTCTATTATTTCTACCCAAATTGTAATTAGGTTTTGAATATTGATACAATTAAGCTCAAAAATTACGCAATTGTGGCTTGATAATGTCAAGCGCTCAGATGATTAGTAGTAGTAGTAACAGCAATTGCTGTGTTGATAATTGTAACGGCGACGTCAGTTGGCCGGAGCCGCCGAAGCTGACGCCGTCGGCTTCGCTTAAGACGAAGAAGAAACCGACTCCGGCGCTGAGCATTTCCAGAGCCGGCGGGGAAGTTGACGAGCTGGTTACTCTTCTTCACGGCTCTGATCCCCTCCGCGTCGAGCTCAGTCGCCTGGAAAATGAAGTCCGAGGTTTCAATTTAACCATCATTTTCTTGCTCTCTTTCTATTTGTGGGAAGCAATTTGGGAATTTTTTTTATTAACCTCGTGGGAGTTGAGGACGTTATAATTTTGGATGATGGGAAGTAGGAAAATGGAGGATAATTTGTGGATGTTATTTGGTAGAGAGCTGGAACATGAATTATGTTAACGATTATTATTAGATGAATATCTGTATTTTTAGAATTTTTTGATTTTAAAAAAAGGTTATCATCGTTAAAATAATTCTTTTTTTTTTTTTGGTGAAAATTCAAGAGAAAGGAATTTTCATTTTAGTTTTATTGAAGGAAAAATAGAAAATTGTCCGTGTTTAAGATATTCTATTCTGTTGTTTATTTTTTTTAAACTTGATTTGAAATTGATACTTTTAGAATCAAAACTAATCTGGTAAAGGCACGAAATTGGACTAGAATAATATTTCTTCAATTTTTTGTAATTTATTCATTTTTCCATTAAAAAGGCATAATTGTATTTTTTAATGAGACTTTATTTAATTGATAAGTCATTTCAAGAATTCATTTTTGAAGGCATATCTTTTTTTTTTTAATTAGACATTATTAATTTGATTAGTAATTTCAAGAATTCTTTTTTTTTTTTTGGTGGAAATTGGATGGACTATATTAGGTTTCTATAAACCAGTCATGACAATTTGTTGGAAAGTGTTTGTATCAGGAGCCTGTCATGTTTCAATGAAAGTGTTGGAAAGTATTTGTTTATGTTTCAATTTCCATAAACAAGAAAATGGATGAAAAGAGAAGCTTTGGAAGCATGTGAGTGCATAGAGAAGTCACAATGAAGCCAGCTCTTGTTGGCCCATGTCCTAATTTTTTTATTAACTTCTCCATT